GTGTGTGTGCGTGTGTGTGTGTGTTTGTGTCACATCTGGTACAGTCTCCCTTACTGCTCTTTCAACACATAAAGGCCGGCACTGACCCGTGACATACTCAGACACACACAGAGCACTGATGGATTGGACATAAATCAGACAAATTCACATCATCAAGGCTCATCCCATTTTGCTCTGTCATCTCTCAGTGGCTTTCTAAGTGTGTGTGAGACAATGCATTTTTAATATCTACATCCACATATGTAGACCCATGTGTGTGTGTGTAAGAATAAGTCACTGCATTTTTAACATTGTGATAACTTTAACCTGCAAATGGTAAGATCTGTGTGTTTATTGTTATGCATTAGTGTTAAGAGTGTGTGTTGCTGTGGGCATTCATGCTTACACGTGTGTCCAGCGGACCTCCTGAGTGCTGGTGTCAGACAAAAGCAAACCCCCTCCCTTCCTTCCCACTTCGCTCTGTCTGTCTCTCTCATTGCGTCTCTCTCTCTCTCTCTCTCTCTCTCTCTCACACTCTCTACCTCTCTCTTTCTCTTTACGGGACCAAATTACCACTGGAATGCCCGGACCCTTCACATGAGAGCGAGGCCGCCGTAAGCATGAGTGCGTGCGTTTCTCTGCGCGTGTGTTTGCAGGCAAATGCAAAAAAACTGACAGACAACAAATTCCATAGGGACAGACAGGCAGGCAAAGAGACAAAAAGAACAACACTTCCTCATATAGGCCATCAATAGGTCACACATACAAAATGGGAGCATGCAGGCACGAAACAGCGGATGGCAACAAACAGATGCAAATTGCACGCTCACACACTCACAGACACACACACACGCGCGCGCAGCCAGCAAATCAGCACGGCACATATTGACATGCTTTGACAGATGAATTAAGTAAATGATTTTATAAGGAGATTAAAAGGATTTTAATTTACGCAATCTCTCTTTGGTCCCCCCTGTCCCTCCCTGCAGTCAGCTTTACCTCTCTCTCTCTCTCTCTCTCTCTCTTTACTGCATATCCCACTTCATAAGCTGAAAAATAAGGTCCAGCGACTAAGATTAAGGAAAAGAAAAAGATGGGAAAAAACCATTAAATGCTTTTCATTGTCTAATCAAAAGCAAGACATATTATCTCTTTATTCTGAAGAACAAAACATATGTATATTTCGCTGTCGCACATTTAAACAACAAACGGTCAAAGCATCAGACGGTTGGTCTTCGAGTTAGATTTTTTTCTCAATTGAATTTCTTTCGCGGTTTCATATAAAGTAGTTTGCCTCCTCAGGAAAATCAGGAAAAGTAAATCACTGTATGATGGCCAATGCACTTTTCCAAATGTGAACTAAAACAGTGGCATTTGTCGTAGCAGAACAAGAAGCAACACAACATTACGTGTGAAAATCTGGTGCCTGAATCATATTATATATATTACTGTAAGTAAAAAAAAATGTTTGTTTTTCTGGCACATCTTAATTTAGTCCGATGAACGACTTCAACAATGTTTAACCTGAAACAGATTTTTATTTTTATTCTTTTTTACTTACAATCACAAATAATTTCTTTCCTCTACATTTCCATGTATTTAAAAAGAATTAAATCCAGACACATCAGATTGGAGAATAATTCCTAATCAAATCATATGTGCTCCCTTGTGCTTCTCTTCATTACTGCACTACTAAACCCTTGCCTGACTGATCAGCAACTGTGCAGTTCTCACCACCCGTCCGTTCTCCTTCACACCCACTGTTAAAAACACCAAAATCACTAAAGTCACTGTGGGAAATATATTTTAATGATATGCAAATGTTATGTATATGGTGGCATGAGGGGAATGCAATTATGTTAACAGCTTAAGTGGTACTTGTTGTTATTATTATCAGTATGATCATCATTATCCCTAATATTTTAATTAGTATAGGAAAGCAGTGCCTTAGAGCAAAGAAGGGAACGCCTGAGCCGGGAACAGAGAACGGTGGATGGATGGATCGATGGATCGATGGATGGATGAATGGATGTGTGAAGGAGCGGACGCACAGATGACGGGACCAGAGGGCTCTCTAGAAAACGTTTGAGTGGCAACAGCTTACGTACACTTGCTGAATCACACGCAGGTAAAGCAGACACATCTCATTGCCAAATGTCTCTCAGGAAAGTGTGTTTTTCAGTGAGTGTATTGATGCTTGATGTCTAAACACAGTTTTCACACTTCTTGTCCATTAAGAAGCAAATCCAGTTCAAAAGTTTTTGAAAAATTTGAATTCTCTGTCTTAATCTGATTAAAAAAAAAAAAATCAAGACTCTTACACCTGAGCCGTTACAGGTCCTTAAATTCCACCCCACTGTTTTGCAGTTGAAGGACCAACATAGAGAAAGCTTGTTTAGATGCAATCCAAAGGGTTAAATCCTTGTAAAGTGTCCTAAATTCAGATTTTGCTCTACTGAAAATTCAGCTATTCCCTCTAAAAAGGGAACTTAAATGATTGATATTCTCAGACTCTCTAAAAGCTTGATTGGTCATACCGCAGTGATAATAAAATAATCATTAAAAAAAAAAAATCCTGCACATATTATGAACATTTTAATTTGTGCTCTTTAAGCATTTACTTGTTCAGAAGGGGCAATTTCTCATATTTGCTTAAATGACATTTTAATTCAAACAGACTGAAAGTTAAAAGACAATTTTTTAAAATTAAAAATATAACAAAAGAATATTTTAATGTAAAGTAGTGGTACAGCTTATCTCCGTGTATTCTCTTTAAAATGCCTCTATATTGAAAATGCTTTACAAGTGAGTGGGGCGTGTGTGTTTTAAAACAAATGACGAGAAAGATTGAAAATAAAATGAAAAATTGCCAATTTTCTTTAAAAAATGTTACAGATACCATTTTGGGAAATATTACAGTACAACATTTTGCATGAGCTTCTGCTCTGACTTTGTTCTTTCAGTTTTCCCACTTCCGACTCTCTACCGTAAAAAAACCCACCTAAACTGTGGCTTTGATTTAGTGTCACTCATTCAAATTTAGTTCTAAGTGGAAATTGGTTAAATCTAAGCATGTGTTTTAAATCTATACATATACGTTTATATATATAAATGACCATAAAATCTTTGCTTTATTTATGAGCTTTGCAAATTTGAAAAGGTGAATGCCAATAATTTTATACATACAGACAAAACAGGTCTGTCCGGCTACTGAATCACACACGCACAGTGTCGGAGGAATGTTTTATCTTGTCCTGTTTAAGAAAAGAGTTAAGCAAATACTGCTATACTTTAATCATTTGTTTGTTGGCTCTAATTTTGTTTTTTAAATAATTGTGCACACAATAATCTAATCAAGCAAACTGCTGTCCACTCTGCCAATCACTTAATCTACATTTTGCACATACATCTAAAAGAGCAAAGCATTGGCGAAAGGAGCAGCTCAGCAGCACTCGTGTGTTTGTGTGTGTGTGACTGTCTCTAATTCCTGAGCGGGGCCACACGCTGAGCTGCCCGTCTGAAATTCTACCTCCTCTGGCATTTAAGAGCGCAGCTCTCCCCCTTTCCCTCTCCCTCCTCTCTTATGGGCCCTTTCCTACACGCTGCTCCTGTAACCTTAATGCCCTGTTATCTCGCGGATTCTCTGCTTGGATGAACACATACTTTAACCACACATGCATAAGCATAAACACATGCACAGGTACACACATGCAGACATGTACTGAGAAAGTTTGTCCCAAGAACAGCCTGACTTCAAGTAAAGTGTTTGTTGAAAACAGCGAAAGTGAAAATGGAGCAAACAATGTGTGTTTGCAGGCAGGTGTGTTGTGCATATGTCTCACTTTCAGGTGAAGGGACAGAAATTTTGCTCCTCTGCCCACTAAGTAAGAACTGCTGTCCAGATACTGCAGCCACACACTCACACACACACACTCACACACACACAAAGACAAGAGTGAACGCGTGCTACCTGACAACAGAAACAACCTTGACACGGTGCCGGCCACCTCCGCTGCATACCAGCACATACACTCACTCACTGACTCACACATTCACTTACAGTGGAAGACAATGGCAATGACAAGTTGGATGATCAATAAAAGGATAATAGTAAAAGGTAAAATTTACCTACTCTTGTTCAGAGTGCATTAAAAAACACTCGGATAACGGGTGTCCTACCGAATCCATCGGCGATACCGGGTCATTGTCATGTCAACCTCCTCAGGGTAAATGGCAAGAAATTAAAAACAAAAAAAAATCAAAGTTTTTTTTTTTATATCTCTCCTCTCTCTTCTTTTCTCTTCTTTCTCTGATCTTCCTCTCTTTCGGTCCTTCCTTCCACTTGGAGTGAGCAATACAATTACCGGGCTCTGCGCTGCCTGCACTGATCAGCTCTGCGTGTGTGCGTAGAAGTGAGGGAGCATGTGTATGCAGTGTGTATGTCAGAGTGAGAGAGAGGGGGCTATAGGCACACACACAGCCAGCTAGTCAGGCAGTTGGGACAGAAAGCTGTGCTGCTGTCCTAATCAACGACTTAAAGCCCCGATAGCGGCTCATGAATATTAAGCAGCATTTTGCATATGTAGTCCCTCAGGTCCCAGTTGTGCTGTGATTGGTGGGTGCTTCACCAATAGCTGCAGGGAGGGGCGGAGAAAGGGGTGGGGAAAAGAAGGGAGAGCGAGGGAGAGAGGGAGAAGAGCAGGTGGAGAGGGAGGGATCAGACAAAGAGCACGGAGGAAAAGGGAGAATGAGGGAATCAGGAAGGAAAGGAGGAAGCAGAGAGGAGAATGAGACAGGTGCGAGAAAGGTTTAAAGCAAGACAACCTGCTCTCCTTTTACTTAATTTCTTTCTCTCTTTATCAATCCATCTCTCTGACCTTTCTTCAATGGTCTCTCACTACCACGGTCACTCCTGCTCTCTGCATGCACCTGCATAGGTAAAATTACATCCTCACATAAACTGTAATGTTAAAAACTGACAATATATTTCTTTCTAACAATGAAAAAAAAGTTTCAAACCAAAAAGCTGACCCTCTTTCAAATAAGGTCTAAACCACATAAGTTACACCATGTTATTAGGATGTTTTAAGGACGCAGATACTGATTTGTGCTCAAACGGAAAACACAAAACTGACCTAATCAAATCCAGAGAAATGCAAGATCAAATAGTGTATGCTTGACCATGAACCCAAAGCCTGAATACTGTGTCACACCGTAAACACACAGGCACAGCGCAGCAGAACCCATCGCAGCCCAGCAGTAAAATATGAGATTATAGCAATTCCAGAGCGCTTGTCCTTTGTTGTGGAATGATTTGGGCATGATTGGAACAAGGTTTTCCCTGCTGCTTGCTGTTTTGTCAAGTTCACTTTCATCTCTACACCAGCAGGCTGTGTATTCCCAGTATTTCCGAGCACCTTGGAATGTGAGTATAGGTACTGCGACTGGGATTCTCCAGGAAAAATTAGCTCACCGCTTCTCAGTTTTAGAGCAAGGAGGAGACAGCGGAAAAGAGAAAAGGGAATGCAAGAAGAGCGGGAAGGGCCTTGTGAAAAGGGAAAAATCGGAACCCCGCAGGGACACTCCGAATGATACACGCACTCTTTCTGTCTTCTTCCCTTTCTTTTTAACTAATGTCTTCCTCCTTTCGATTAGACTTTTTCAACATGTCCTTACATGTCATTTTTTGGGTACCCCTGCACATGGGATGGCGGGGGAGAGAGAAGTGTAGCGAATACAGGGAGACACACAGAATGGAATCGGAGGGGGTGGAGGGGGTGGTGATGTTGTTGGTAGAGGGGGTGGGGGGTGCAAAGATGAAAGAGAGTGGTTGTGATTAGCAGCTTTGGAATAGTACAGATAATAAAATATTTCCTGAAACCAATCTCAGCTTTGATGTACGTGTGTGTATGTGTGTAACTACTGCCTTTTCTTTCCCTGTTTTTCTTTGACAAACACAGAGTCCAATCATTAACATTTCAACTGCTTAACAGAAAAACTGTTACTAAAACATTGAAGTTAGCGCACTAAATATTCTTCATATTCTTCTCAGCGTAGCGTAGGATATGTGTATTGGTTTTGCTGATAAAGCATTTGTCTCTAGCTGCATGGAGAACTCAGTACCTGTTAGCCATAGAACTGTTCAGTTCAATGCCATTTTAAAGGTAATATGATTATAGCTTAATACATGTGTGTGACGTGGAGAATTCTTGACATTATTGTGCTGAAAGACCCTGTGAAACTGAGCTTAACTGCCTTCCCATGGGCACAATCAGGGTCTTTACAAGAATAAATACATATTTAGAAGTTGTTTCGAAAGCCGACAAAGTAAAGATCCACAGACCACATACAAAAACAAACACACTCATAGTCACAGACTCCTTGCACAGATGTACCTTTGCCATTTACATAGAAGGAAAGGAATTCAAATACATGTCTTTACAGATATATAGCTGTTAGGTTTGTGTACACACATACACATGCAGGCATACAAACATACACACAGTTATGATGTATCCAGAGGCTTATAAGCATCGACAAAGATGAGTGTGAATCAATGCTGCCGTCACTACTGTGCAAACAAATCCTTTACCAAAACCTCAGTGTCTAACACACTTGTGAATACACACACACACACACACACACGCGCACGCACACACAAAATCTCAGTTTCAGTGCAGAAAGTCCAAAATGTTCTGTCTAACACATTTATTTAAAATAAGAACTACAAATCATACATTGAATTAAACAATTAGAAGCCTGCGAGTTGTAAAACACCAACGAATGGCTATATAAATATTTGAAGAACAGTGTTTTGACGCACACAGAAATCATTATTATTTGTCAAAGATGAACTGGTTGTGTTCATGGAGGCGTAATTTTTAGTTAGTTTATGTTACAAAATATTCAATGATTCTTTAATTTATGCAGTTTGTGTGGAAAGTGATTTCTACTGACTGATAATTTAAGCACAAGCAGCAATGTGGTAAAACATAAGAACGCTGTCTAAGAATAAGCTTTCACTGTGCATGTGTGGTGAGTGATGCCTTACAAAGCTTGGCCTTTTATGTAAATACAGAAAAAAATGTTACGGTGAACAATAACATCATGTCATGCACACAATGCCACAAACAGAGCTGTATTCCTTAAAATTCATCAACCGGTGCACACACAAAAGGCCCATATGGTCCTAAAGCTTCTGAATCATCTTTGTAGAGACCATCACAAAATTCTTGTGATTTTGGTTGAACCCTAAAACAGCCGTTACTTTTTCTGTCTTTCTGCCTCACTCCTCTTTTCCCTCTCTGACCCCTATCCTCCCCACCCCCATAGACTATTGATTGACTCTCAGTCAGTGTGTGTATGTTGACAGTGACCCCTTTAGGCCACTTTTCTCTATAACTGGACAAACCATAAACATCTTAAACACAAATCCGTAACTCAAAAAGCCAAGGTGATACCTTGTGCATCCACGATGTGTGCATATGTGATTGCTGGTTAACAGACAATTTTTCCATGCACAATGCTGCAGAAATATAACTGCATATAACAACATAAAAACAAAAAATATGAAACTCAGTCGAAGCACCGTGTAAAAACAGCATTTTATCACAATTAATAATTGTATGCATGGGTAAATGGCCTTGCTGGAATCACTTTAAAAGTCCATTTACAATGTAAAACCTATTGAGCTCGGTAACTGCTGGCATCTCACTCTTCTCTTGTCTGCCAGTGTTTGTAAATCTGTGTGTGGGTGTGTGTGTTTTGACCCTGCGGTGGCAGCCTGTTGACATCTATGGAAGAATTATCCATCGCAACTCTCGCTGACATCAATCAAACTACTCAATAGGCCACAGCAAGTTCATTCAGAGCCTTGTATTGTGAGCGGTTATATGTGCGTCTTTGCTGGTCAAAACAATCTTTAACAAATTCAAGACGTGGCCACTTAGGAAGCTGACCCCAGGCCACCCATCGACGCATGTGCCAGTCATGAACAAAGCACTAGACTGAGGCAACAACTGCAAACAAAGTACTTTCAACAATAATAAAACAGAGCATTTGTTCTTGATAATTAAAGAACATTTGCTGTTTTTATTAACATTTAAGCATTTAAGACAGGACGACCATTTGACATTTTAATGTTAAAATGAGAACTAAAAAGTTAAGCTGTACCAAAAGTGAAATGAAGCAATTTGGAAATTTCACACATTACTGAACTTTGCTTTTGTAGAAAAGAGGGGGGTGAGGCAGGTGGAGGGAGTGAGAGTAAGAAATTGCACATCACTTCAAGCCAACAGAGGGAGCTATGGACTCTGGTCAGTTTGCAGCCAACAGCAGCACAAAGACTCACAACTCGTGTGTGCACGGCTGTTTGTAGGAATGTAGCTAAAAATATGCAAGATTAAGTCACAATATCATTCATCGTGAAAACCAACAAAAATAAACAAAAATATATAAAAGAACACAAACTCTCAAAGATACACACACAATACAAAGCTACACCGCCAACAGGATCAGGGGAGATGGAGCAGAGTTATCTGATAGCTTTGTCAGCAGGTACAGCAGGACACAGTGTGGATATGGACAATTTGAACAAAGACCCCTGCCTGCTTCTCCAACCTGAACCCAGACTAGAGCAAAAGGCAGGGAGCGATGAAGAGTGAGAAGGAGACAGGGAGAAAAACAGAGCAAGAGAAGCCAATAGGAAAAAGCGAGAGATCTGTAGACTTGAAAAGACATCTCTGTCACTAACGTGACTGATGGCTGTAATAGCAATGAAAGGGTTTGAAGTCACAAGGTGTTATTAGATAAACAGAGTTTAAGCTGCAGTTCATTTTCAGGCTGTGTGAGTGTAAAACAGCAAAGGAAAAAACTTGCCCTCTGGGCAATATATTTTATGTATTATGTATTATATATATTACAGGATATAATCCGCTAGGATAATCAGAAAATAAAATATTTTAGTAGTCATAAAGAATTATTTTTTAAAAGAGTGATGAATATATTTGGGATTATTCATACAAAATAAATATCTAAAAAATGTTTTACAAATATTTAAAAATGACCTCTTTGATTGAGTTTTGTCATAGCAGCAAAGTTTGTCTATGTAAACTAAATGGGCCCTAATTACTGTGCTACATCTTACTTCCTGAATTGTACTTAGCCTCAAATTAGTCATAACAGAGTTATCAAAGTAAACCTATTCTTAAATATGAAATATGAATAAGAAATAACCAACTACAAATTTCTTAACATTAAAGAGATTTC